CCTTTTCCCCTGGCTTCTGAATAGAGGTTCTCCTAAAAGCTCTCCTCTGTGTTCCAAGTCATTTTTCTTATTGTTCATCTCTTCTGCTAACTCTTTCCATAGATATTACTGGATTTTGGTTGAGGCCCCCAGAGAAAAGGGCTTATAGCCACTTCTTGCTTATCCAGTGTCTCACATCCTTTGTAAACCATCCCTTGGGCTTCTTTTATCATTAGGGATTTCAGGATTTTGAAAAATCAGCTATTGTTGCTCTACCACAAGTGGAGCCACTGACACCACCCACAGTGAGGACATTAATGTAACCTAACCCCTGGTTTTCTTCATTGTGATTGCCAAGATGTATAAGCAATTGGTAAAAATACCCATGGCCCACACTGCCACCCAAGACTGGGACCAAAAAAAGGTCACAAGATCTACTGAGTCAAACAACTCAACAGGATGCTATGGCCACACCCAGTCAAGTGAGCTGGAAATGGGTCATTCAAGCTGGGAGTGAGAGGTGGCAAGGCACAATGATACATGCATTGATCCCTCATGTACTGCTGGAATAGAAATAGCTTTAACCATGCTGGTCCTTAGTAAGTCATTAAACACAGTTGGAGCTCTTGACTTGTTCTTTTTGTCTGTGTTTTTTTGGGGAGGAGGGGCGTTGTTTTACTTATGTGTTTTATAAAATACAGGAGCCGATTAGCTGTTTCAATAGCAGATGCTCTTTAACTCTGTATAATATAATGGGGATGTGGTGGACAAGGAATAAACAGTGACTTGTACTCCTTTTTCACAGACAGCAATGCATATATATGAAGGAAGCTGCTGAGTAAGGCACTGAGATAGCAAGTGGTAGAAATCAAGAGGTAGGACCATTTTTATAGGAAGCTGAAACTTAAGTAATATGGCAACAAAGCAAAGTAGAGCTGAGATCAGTTTAGCAGAAACAAGTGTGTTGGGCCAAATGGCTGCTTCTGATGCAGCAAATCCATGTAGTCAGTGAGATTCAGTGGATATATATTTGAAATAAATGAACAAAGACTGCAGGGTAGGTTCTTGTGCATTCTGTACTTCCACGGTATTGCAGTATAGCGAATACCAAACTTAGATGCCAATAGCGTAGTCATTTCAACATCCTGGTTTGTTTTTTCTGTCCCTGGGTCAAGATGTCAAGGACTTCAAAGTGAAAGGCAGTGGAGAATCAAGTCCTTTGAGTGCCTATACACAAGCCAGGAAGCTGCTCTGACATACTGTAATTATGTGTGGTAACTGCTGCACTCCCGCCAGCCTCCACATCTCATGTATCAGCATCCCCATGCTTCAAAATGGTGGTGGGGCACTTTAACTAAAGCTTGTTTGATGAGCTTTAGCTAAAGTGCCCCTTTTGCTAGTTTGAAACACTGGGACGCTGATACACAAGACGCTCCTGGCACTTTAATAAGAGCGGCTCTTGGAGCACATGTAAAAGTGTCCTTTGTGTCCATAGAGCTTTAGTTGTTCCTTCCTTTTCCAGTCACTAGCACAGGTGCACTGTGACTGGCAGGAGCCTGCAGCTGAAGTTATATGAAATTTTACAATCCAGCCAAGTACGAATAATCTATTTGATTTGCTACCAATCTGAGGCATTGCTCATGAAGACTGGTCTTTGTAATCGGAAAAGATTAAATGAAACTTAATGAACTGGGAAAGAATGTGGTGAGTGGAGCTGAGCTCTAGGTCAAGTGAAGGTGGCCTATAGTCTCTAGAGAGCTGGAGAAATTTGTCATAGGCGATTTCACTTATTAAACGCTGTCAAGGAGAGATGTTCTCCTGGGGAAGGTCCGGCAGTTTATTCAAGATCTTGTTACCATGTTTTGTTTTATGATTACTTTTTATCCCCTTGTAGTTTAAGATTTAAACAATCATGTCAACAGATGTTTCACTCAGTGCACAAAATGCAAACCAAAGGCTAGAAAAATGGTGCAATGCAATATTAGCACAAAGTATAAAGAGTATACTTAAAGAGTTGCTGTTGATTTCCTGTGGTGTTTTCTGGGCCCCAAAAGCACGAAACAAATAGTGATGGCCCCACAGACTGGCTGCCAGGGGATCTAAGCTATACTTGGGTTCTCCCGTAGTACATGTATGTAGGGTATGCACAGAGCTGCTAATGACCTTTCTAAATCTGTCATTACTTCTCTTTATCAAACACACTCACACACTTGTTGGTGTTTTCTTTTTAAAAAGCTACTGTCCCGGGAAAGAACGGGAGAGAGAGGGGACAAACGGGAAAATTAAAATAAAAGAGAAGAACCACTTACCTGCAGCAGGAGCCGCAGCACAGTGGTGACAAGAAGAGATGCCCGCACGGCTCATTAGTGGCGCCTTTATTCAGCTGGGGCTGGCCAGTGACATCACCAGCAATTGCCAGCCGGTGAAAATAAAAATGGTGGACGGCAGGAGGAGCGGAGGAGGGGGAACAAACCAGAGCAGCGTGTGGACTCTGGACCCACTCCAGGAACCCTCTAGGAAGGGAAAAGGGTCAGACGAGGAGTCAGGAGAGACTCCTGGTCTTAAGCCCGGCAGCAGTGGCAGCGGACAAGCCACCAGCATGGGAAGCGAGCTACAAGCAGCCCCTGCAATCTGCAACATCAGCAACAGCAGGAACAGGAGAGAAAAGCATGCCAGAACCTACAGTACAGCAGGTGGGGGTATTGGGCATGGTTGGGAGGAGGAGGAGATGACCCCTTCAGGAAGAGCCCAGCAAGAGCCCAGGGAGGGCGTCAGGCAAGCAGAGCACCTACATCGCATATAAAAGAGGTGACCAACACTGTGTAGGGGCATTACGGATCACTTGAAGGGGAGGATGCCACAGGAAGGAAAGAAGTGTGGTGGACAAGGCTCACGAAAGGAGCTAGGATGGTAAAGCAGACAACACTTACAGGAGTACACTAGGATTGTTCTGGTAAGGGGGAAGTTTTCCCCGACAATAGTATAGGGGAGCGAAGTTACCGTGACCTCTGCCATGAGGAAGCAAGGAAGGGAACTTTCCTAATTCCCAGTGTAGCGACAGAGGCAGTGTCTTGTGTTTTCTGTTAGGTTCTTTTCTTTTGTTTCCCCAGGTGAAGGGGTTGAGAGAGAGAGACGGCTAGGGAGCATAGCCCACAGGGTGTCAGGGGACAATTTGAGCCCGAGGGCCGGAGTGCTTGGGGCAAGGGCAGGCTCCATGAGCAGGACCTCCTGTCACAGAGGATCTGCAAAAGGGGTAAGCCGAGCAGGCTCCAAAATTGCACGCCAATAGGAAGAAACCCTAGAAGTGCCATAATTGTAGGAACTTAACACCTATAACTATGCACTTATATGTTCAGCCTGGTTAACAGAGCTCTGCATCTTCTTGCTTCAGGAAATCCCGCAGACTTGTACCATTTGATCTGAGCTATAGGAGAGTCAAGAACGAAAGCTTTTATCTTACCTTGGCTAGGTTACTCAAGAACAATACCCAGAGCTCATCAGTAGCTCTTGGGGGCAGGTAGCCATTTCCCACCCCCTGGTGGATGGATGACCAGGAGCAGATTTGCTCCCGGTGAGGCATCTACATGAGCACTACTGCGTCGTTACTAATTGTGAGAAAATTTGCTACTTGCATTTGCCAGTAGCAAATTTTTTCATGATTGGCGAGGTTTGCTGTGCAGTAAGCATGTACACATGCTTACTGCTCAGTAAACTATGCTATTTTGCAGTAGAGTGTCTCTTGTAGTTCTAATCCTAGCTTGGGCACTTGGTTTCCTGTATGACCCCTGACAAGTAATTTGATTTCATCCTTTCTTTGTGCTTTTCTTGTCTAGGAAAAAGAATACCACTTAGCCTAATGTTTACCTGATCTTGGTTGTTCCTAGAATGCTTCTAACTAGTTAGCACATTTTTACATGCTTAGTAGTGTTTTAAAATCATGTGGGATAATACATTCTTAACTTTTGCTTAGTCTAGATAAAGCCCACAGATAAAAGCACTGCTTGGATGCCTTAAGGTTGTTGTGTAGCCTAATGCTTGAAAGGCAATTTGAAGACAACAAATGAAGACTAGGTGCTGTATTATGCCCTCCCTCCTCCCAACCCAGCATTGCCCATCTAAAGAACATTACATCTGATAAACTGTTGCTGTGTTGCCAAAGGTCCGTGCTTCATTTTCCCAGTACCTGAACTTGGCAGCAATGGCAAATAGGCACAATATGAACAAAGATCCAAACAGAACTGTAACTGTTTTCACCCATCTGTTTTCACCTGTTAGCCACAGTTAGAGAGTTGAAGATGCCCTGATCCAGCAATCCTTATTCATGTCACTGGTCTCACTGAATGCAGATGACAAATTTTCATGCAAAATTCATTTTAAAAAAACCCCAAAACAAACCAGGCTAAAATAACCAAAAATCAAAATCCAGTCCCTACAGACAGCCCAATCCAGCCTGCAGATGGGCTCTGCACCATTCACCTGACCTGTGGGGCCAAAAGGTTGAGCACTACTGATGTAGAGTGAAGGAGCCAGCAGTACTCCCTGATCCTTCCTGCTTATGGGGAAGGGACTGAGAGTGATTGGCCTCATATTCCAGGTGGTGGTAAGCTATAGTCTCCCAGTAAAGTGCCTTCTTACAGAGGTATCCAAGGGCTTGTCTATATGTGAAGTTCACCAACATAATTATACAAATATAGCTATGCCATTGTAAGACCACAATGCAAAATAAGTGTTTGCCCAGATGGGGGTTTATCCCATATATAATTCTAGCAATGGTATGCAATTACAATTATACTGCTTATCATGCTATAATATCTTCCTGGACCGTCAACTTATCAGATACAAAGAAACTGTGTGTTAAAGAATATCAAAATCAGAATGAAAAATTTGTATCAAAGCAGCCCTTTGCTGCTGTGCCAATCCATTTTCCTCCTGGTAGAGGCTGCCTGTTGGTAGAGAGTACTCTGCACTAAACTGTTTTTCAGAACTTGGTTCTGGGGTGAAAAAAACAGAAACCTTGTGCACCTATTTTAACTTATTCATTTTAGTTCTGCTAAGCAATTACACTTCTCACCTTCAAAGCGGCATCTGTGTCTAAATGTATTATCACTCTTGGCCCAGCATTCAGACAGATGTTATTTGAGCAGGAGTTACAATTTGTTGTGCAAACAACAGTGCAGAATGTCAATGGGCTGAGCCAATATGCACTCAGAAAAACAAATGAGAATAAAGTCCACATATACTGTACATTGCCATGTAACATAAAACAATTTCACACTTCAAAGGGTATTCGTAGTATTTGCTGCATCTGCAGTTGTGACTTTCATTTGCATAGCAGAAGAACAATCTATATTCTGTAAAAATTAATACAAAAGGTTAGAGAAGGTGGGGGAGAGAGAGAAAATGCAGGCCATTTTTCATACAGCTTCAATTTACTGTGCTTGTGATGGGGCTACCCATCCGCCATTCGCAGTTCTTTTTGACTGGCTAGGAGCAGTTGGTACAACTCAGAGAGGGAGTTCAGAGAAGTTCTCTGGTATGGAGCAAAATCCTTGGACCCTGGATCAGCACACCTGTGCACAGCCTTCTGCAACTGCAACTGGAAGGGGAAGGGAACTGCGGGTCCCCTGAGATTCGAAGAAAACCAGTGACGGAATATTTTGTCACAAATGACCTGTGAAATAAAAAGGAGCACAATGTCTGTCAGGAGCTGCTAGTATTAACTTCTACCCTATTAGGGCTATAAAATATATGTTCTAGCCAAGTGCAAAATGTCTCTTGCATTGAAAACACAAGACAATCAACAATCTACTGTTGACTGTGCTGCACTCCTCAGGCATTGTACAGATCTTTTGCCAGCATTGAGCAGCCCAGAAAAGACCTCTAGTTGAGCTGAGTTGTCTGGCAGTCTTGTGATGACACACAGACATGTTCCTGCTAAGAAATACATGGAGGACGCCAGATTTATTTGTGACCTATCAACAGATTGAACTTAGACTGCTAAAAGCTGTGGATGAGTGAGCATCTCTATATCTTGTATAACATCAGAGCCTCATAACTAATGGTGACAAGATGACGTGCCTAAGAGAAGAGTGAGCCTTAAGAAAACCATTTTTAGAGCCCATCCCCACTCACCTTCTCTTTAAAAATAAAATGTGTATTCAGGCATTTTTGACAGCTGACCATTGGCTTTGTTTTCCAAAGCAGTTGTCTTAGGTGGAGATCAAGACTGAGAGTAAAGGAGAGAGTAAATTGTCTCTAAACTAGCCAGAGATTCCCAACAGAGTTCCACCATCCATGCTGACACTTCTGCTATAGCAAAGGAGAAGCAAGCTGCGGCTAGTTACAGACATTACACATAAACTGGTATAGATGATGAGAAACTGGTCTAAACCTGTAACAGAACAGAAGTTCAGCACACATAGACTGGTTAAAAAAAGGCTGAACTCAGTCTAAGATAGACCTGGATGGCTATAGTATCAGACTTAATTGGTTTAGGTTTGATCAACCTAAACTTCTGTTGAACTTCTGTCCCAGATTCCCTCCCAGCTCAACTTAGATTACAGTCCACTGGCATCCCAGGTGCCTGTCTCAGAAAGCAGGAGCTGGGACTGAGAGCCATGCAGCGGTACAAAGAAGTAGAGAAGGGAGTGGAGGCCCCTGCTCTACACCACCCCCCACCCCCCAGCTATTCTTGCTTGGTTCTTGGCTGACACCAGGCTGTGGGGTGGGGGCCTCTGCTCCCCCTACAAGCCTCCATGCTGCTGTCCAGCTTGGCTGACAGCCCCACACACCTCTCAGCCCCAGCTCCTGCCTGCCTGTGTAAGGCAAGCCGAATATCAGTGAAGGGAAGTGAGGGAGAGCAGATGCCACAGCCCCTTCCCTGTGGGCCCAGTCCCCCCAGACCTAAGCAAGCACAGCTGGGTCGGGGGCACACAACAGTGAGCCTCTGCTCCTTCCCCTACCTCTGCTCTGCTCAGCTATCACAGAGATGGCAAGAGCCAGGGCTAAGAGCTGTGCAGGGCTGTCAGCCAAGCCAGGAAGTGTGGAGGCAGGGGTGGGAGAGCTTGGGTCTTGGGCGGAGAGGACTCACACTGTGTGGGCCCAGTCCCAGCCATCCCAGATCTGAGCAAGCACAGCTGGGGTGGGGGCACCCACTGCCACTGATGGCTGACTTCAAGGGGAGGGGCTGGGGAGAGAGGCTGCACTAGGAGGTGTGCAGGTGCACTCATCGCCTCCTGGCTTCAGCCAGTGCAGGCATCTGGATGCCCACCCTTCCCCACTACAGGATGAACATGTGTTCTGTTTGTGCCTGATCCAATCTATGCAGCTTAGAGAAACCTGTGTAGATTTGATCAATTCCACCTCCTGCTTTTCGAATGTCAGTACCTAGCCTGGAGAAGTGTAGTACACACACTCAGCTATGCTACTGCATAAGGGACCTTAGGCCATTATTACTGGAAACTAAATCAGAACAGGTCCCCTTTTATCACGGAATTGGTGTACTCTTGTGTCCCATCTATGTTTGTGCACATTTGAGATGCAGCAAATAATTGGGGCCATGAACTCCACATTATGTGCATGCACGTAGGAATGGAAGTACAAAAAATAGGTAGCAGTGAACATAAGGGTCATCTTTGTGGATACCAAAAAAAGGTTTTTGCCCCTCACTTGGGTGGTCACTTTTGAACGCCAGGTTTGATGAACGAACATCAAACACAAGCATGGGCAACTGGGGCCTCCTGAGTCTGGGGGTGCACCAGATCACCAACCAGGGGCAAGTAGGGGTCCCCCTGCAACCAATCACTGACCAGGGTGGAAGTTCCCTAGCGACTGATCACCAAGCCCAAAATCACCAGCAGCGAAACCAGAAATGCACTTCTGCTAGCACTTCTGGTTTTGCGGCTGGCGTTTCCAGGGGGTGCACAGACAATCTCAGGGGATGTACGTGCACCCATATTCACCCCCTACCCATTGCCAATAAACACAAATTTCTTCATCCGATGTGGTATTAGGGCTGCCATACGTGTAATATTTACCAGCCGGTTCCAGGCAATTTAAATGAAACCCATGTGCAATAAAACTGAATCTACTCACCTGCAGGTTGTTGTTGGCCCTCTGTGCTCCACACTTCCTGATTTTCAAGTCACACTTTGAAAAGCAATCAAAAAAATTGCAGTCTTCATCTCCTGTGCAGTTCTGTTCAAGAATGTCCCTCATTTTAGGTTCAAAAAAGGCCATATCCACATCAATCGCAACTACCTGTGGTTAAAGCAACACATCAGATCGACACACAAACCATGCAAAGTCATCAAACAAGTGTCCTTTTGCTGCCATGATTCTCTTAATATGCTGTAGGTGTTGACCAATTGATTCCAATGTCCTTAAAGGAAGAAGCTAGAAGAGGGTATAAAGGGATGATATTCGCTGCCTCAGTGGGTAGCAAGATTATTGCAAATACAAGTGTTTTAATTTTTAATAAGAACCAACGGTATATGTGCAGGGCTGTATGCATCTTCCATTGACCCTTCAAATCCTGCTCCTCCTATCCAGTGGGGCCATATTCAGTCAGTTTCAGATAATAACCCCTAAGGTTGTGAACTTGGAGGGTGGATTTTTCCCCTTTCAGTTCACAGTGGCTTTGTTTTCTGAAGTAGTGTCTGTGCCTCTTTTTTTGCTTTGCCAGCATCATGTCCAGTTGGTTTCAGAAGATATATCAGGGACTGAATGAACATGGAGCCTGAATTGTCTTTTACCCTTTCTCGATGTCTCCCTTCAGTTCAGGCTAAAGAAATGTTCAATGAGAAGTAGAACTAGGTCTGCACTGCTGGTGCAGATATTTCATTCATAACTTCTGTGAGAGCACTATAGTCTCTCTGGTTGTCAATATAACACACTTCACATGCATTGCTTTCACTTAAAAACTGCAAAAATAAACAGTGAGAGAAGGAAAGAGCAATGTGATGACAGCTGCTAGGGATGGCATGTACTATGTAGGAAGTGAGGGGAAACAAATCTCACCTCTGTGCCCTGAATACAGCAACTTACTTTCAAACTTAATATTTAACAACCTGAGCCTTCACTTGGAGATTACATCTGAAGTAAATGTGCTTGGCCAGAAAGGTTTTGAAAATGGACAAAAGGGAGCAAAGTGGACACAATGGCACTGTCCTGCTGAAGATTAAAAATAGCTGAACTGTGTGGTTGAGTGGCAGCTGGATTGCCCCCAGCAATTTTGGGTGTAGGCACCTGGCCAAAGACTGGAGGGAACCTCCAAACTAAAGTAAAGGACAGATTCTAATTTTTTTTCCAGTGAAAAGAGCTCAAACGTGGAAGAAAGCAGACAGAGATTATAATTCCAAATATTTTTAAGCTCCTTGGGAAGCTTGGTAAGTGTGATGTACCCTGGGGAATTTCACAAGTTCATGCAAGCAGATATCGGAAATACATGTAGTCTTTTAGACTTTTTAGTGCTTTGTGCCTTCAGTAGTTACATGGATAACTCTGGAGAAAATGAGATGGGGCCAGAGCCTCACATCTGGTCGAACTGATCTGTGGCTGATGCAGGACTCATGACAATGAGAAGGCAAAGATGGCTTTGCCCTTTCCTAGTCATGAAGACAGTCCTCTGCAGTTGGTACATTCACATTACGTGTTATTTCAGCTGAAGCCAACCATCTGCAACTATCTGTTCTCATACATGGTGGCCGTGGCTGGTAAGAATGAGGGTGCCATAAGCTTGGGTGGTACCACAACATTGCCATTAATGACAGACCTAGACTGAACATTCATTTAGACTGTTTCAGGGGGCAGCTAGAGACCAATCTGGGTGGCATTTCGTCTGCAGGGAGGCTATGTCCTTCTGGGATTAGCTGTGGTGGTGATGATGATGGCAGTGATAAATGTTGAAGGCAGCCAGGAGCCACTTTGGATCCTAACATAAATAACACTGCCTCAGTGTTGCTGTAAGTTACGGCAACTTGTTGTTGTGTCTAGGTGCCAATGCGGTACTAGGCATCACTGGAATAGAGCAGACTCCAGCCATGCCTCTTCCTACCCCTACAACATGTCTCTCACACCAATGGCTGGCAAAGAGATGACTGCCCTACCTTTCTGATAAAACAGCTTAACTCTTAGTATTGTGACGTGCTTGGAATAAAAATGGAAATAAATCCAGAAGTAAGACTACTGTGGCCTAGGCATGTTCCTCTCTATGCTAGTAGCTTTTTAACTTGGGGTGGAAATGGGCAGAAGCTGTCTTAGTCTTTCTTTCTTTTTCTATGGGTTTTGATCACTCCCTCTGTATAAATGCAAAGAGAAAACCACAAACAGAAAGAACATCTACAACCAGACCCTACAACCCTTGAACCACAAGAGCTAGCACTCACATATTATTGAAAAGAGCCCTAGGTTCAGGGAGACCACTTGTCTATGAAAAAAGTAATCACATTAGTAAGAACTTGCAAGATCACAACCTATAGCTTTCTCTGACTTACAAGTTCTCTGACTGTCAGAGCCTCTGTTTAATGGGCCTGATCCTCGAATCCTGGTTCAGCTCATGAAAGGAGGGCACAGCTGGCATCAATATCCTTTTGCTGTCTCACAGACCCAGATTAAGCAGCCTGAAGATGTTTTGGTACTCTGCCTCCTTCCCACCCACACTTCTCAGGTATTTAGCCTGATGATTGCTTCTGTCTTCTCTGCCCAGTGCAGGGGGAGTGCTTTGGAAGCAATGCATTCAGCTGGGAGGAAAGAATCCTGCTTGCATTTCCCTTTAATCAATCCACTGGGCAATGCTGAATGAGGTTGCCAGGCTTTACCAGGGACCGTGTCCAACTCTCCCCATTCAGAGGGAGAGTCCTGGCTCCAGAAGGTGGGGAGGAATTGTGGAGCTGCAGCCCTCATCAAAAGGTCTTAATGAAAAAGCACTCAATGCTCTTTTACTTCTTAACAAAATCTTTCCTTTTTTGAGGAGGCAGCAAAAACTGATGTTTTAATATATGCCCAGCCAGATCCAATTATAGTCCTGTGTAGCATTCATGCTGTGTCCGAATGAAAACATGGTCAACAATGGCTGTGCTGAGGAACCTTTAGTATATCTTGTTCTGGCTAAGCATTGAGATATTTCAGTTTTGCTTGATAGCCCCCCACCTATTCTCCACTCTGCCTGTACATTGCACCTGAATAAACAATAAAAACTAATTGCAGGGTGAAGGGGAAGCACTCAACTTGCTTTCAATGGTTATATGCTTAGGTAATATTTGTCCAGCACTTTGAAAATGTGTCAAATTAAAGTTTAGTAAGTATTGATATTAGCAGTGATACTGCTGAGCATGTTTTACATCCACTCCAAATGCAGAAATTCCATTGATCTCACTGGAAATTATGTGCAGGGTTTGAATGCTCATTATATAGTGACTCCAGTCCGTGCACACACAATTCCCACTGAAACGGATAGAGTTTCTGCCTGCCAAATATGTTCAGAAATACAGTTGTTAACAATACCACTACTTACTAATCATTTTTGTCCTCTAAATTTATGCACAGCTGTATTCTGAAAAGTCAGAAGGTGACTGGAAGAATGGCATCAAGAGTTCTGTGTTCATGGTCTTCAGTGCTTGCCAGATCAAACCTGCTCAGTGCAAAAGCAAAAAGGGGTGTGTGTGTGTGTGTGTGTGTGTGTGTGTGTGTGTGTGTGGCGGGGGGCAGGGTGGAGTTGTTTGTTTTGTGTTTAATATCAGTCCTGCAAACTCAGCATGAGCTTCGACGTTTAAATTGAGTTCTTTCCTTCTTGAGAGTCAGCACTAGAAATAATTTCTTGAAATCAAATTATGACCTTCCTATAGCTCTGCAAACTTATTGATCGAGTGCTCCTGACATTTCAAGTGTCTTTATGCATGTGCCTGGGTGTAACTAAATTGGAACCAAGTACAGAATTCTGTTCATAATGCAAAAGAAAGAAAAGACTCCAATTCCTCCTCTCTCTTTCTTTGATGCTTTGTGTCTTCAAATATTACAAAATGAGAAAACAGCAAAGTGATACTTTTGTTGCTAAAGGAGAAATCCCAATGAGAAGGTGTCATTTTAACACATTTCCTTTTCAGAGTAGAACCTAGCCTTAAACTGTGACAACGCTACTGAAGCACACACTTACCGTGAGATCGTTTCTGATAGCAAAGTTTTCTGGTTTGATATCACACAGGTGAAGCCGGTGAGAAAAGTCATTATCAAAATGATGAACCATATCCAGGAAACTGAGTGCAATGTCAATGATTGCTTTCACTTTGCTTTTAGTGCCACTGAAGGAGGGGCCAACTGCATCCTCCAAAGGGAAAAGTGTTTTGTGCCAGGCATGTCCAGCAGTGAGATACTCCACTGCATAGAAATGGCCACAGGAGCCAAGGACCCGTAGGACATGTTTACTGAAGTCTTGCAGTAGACTGAAATAGATATATTCTTCCTGCTGAAGCAAGGACCACATGCTAGCCATTTGTGCTTTCCAATGCAGCCCTCTCCTTTTAGTCCACAAAGGTCCTATGCTGCTGTTGGAAAATTCCAGACCCAAGACATTTTTGACCTCCAAGGCAACCATGAGCAAAAGCTCTGCTTCAGGAACATCCTGTGCTTCCATTTCCTCTAGCAAAGTGAGGCGCTGATAACTGGAGAAAATTTCCTTTTTGGATTTTAGGATGACTGGCTGACCTCTCCACTCAGCTTGGATCACTTTCTTACCTCTGTCATAATAAAGACAGTGCTTGTACACCAGCTTCTGTGCTATACACAAGTCTTCACACAGGTCACCAGTCAAGGCTCCTTTGCTGTAGTCGAGACACTAGGGCAAAGGAACAAATCAGTTCATAGCAGAAGAATATAAGCTAAGTATTTCAGGGGGAGAAGGTACAATAGTACTACTCAAGGGTCATCTCAGCTATTGCACAACAACTTTCATAATGCCTGACTTCTCAGAAATTCCATGGAGATCACTTCATGGAGTGATTTTATGACAGTACAGTCACCCAGGTGACTTCCAACACTAGGCATTGCTCATCTCTAATTTCAGACATGTTTTTTCACATAGGGCAAGGTGCTGGGCTGCATCACTAAAAGGCATAGGAGAGAGCTCGCAGCCCAGGCAGAGTGTGGATACTCTGTATACTAAGTGACCTCTGGATACTCATGATTCTAGATAGCTCTGCAGGGACAATGCACATAAGTTAGCCATCCCTGTTTAAGTTACAGCAGCCCATTGTCAGCTTCCTGCCGGTGGTAGTGTTGCCCAAAGACTCTGTACACTGTGCATGGTGGTCCCACAACCAACTGACCCTCAATAAAGCTGTTTCAATCTGTCCTCACCATAATTCCATGATATTGTAACAGCTTCAGTTTCCAATCTACTGAAGCCAGAGTATTCAGGGTTTATAAAATATATAAATGCATATATTGTTTCTTTAGAGAAGTTAATGAGTACCAGGTGCAAACTTTAACACTGCATGTGTGTGTGTGTGTGGACATTTGTACATAGCAGATGAGCATAGGTAATTTTAATGCAGATGGCATAACTTCAACCCTTGATTAAAGAATTATGTAAATTGCTATTTGACAGGTGGGTGGTCATTGCAAATGCCTCAAAGAATTAAAACGATTCCCCCCATCAGACCTTTCTTCTGCTTATAATTACTTCCATTCTCTCACTTCTATAAGTGTATATATACTTCTGTGTATATTCAGACCTTCCAGAAGTGCAGCTGCAGAGACTGTTATGAGTGGATGAGTGGAAGAGCTGATCAGAGATGGGTGGTGGAGGGGGAATAGTTCGTGGTGATGTAGAGAGCTAAACAGTTCCAAACAGCTGGGAGGTAGCTTGGCAATGTCAGTGTCCTCCATTGCTTTCTGGCATATGTACTCTTACTTAAGCAAGTTGGCAGCTCCTGTTGTACATGTAAGGCTTGTAAAGGCGCTCTCACCCCAGCCTAACTTGTGACTAACTGCTCTTTGTGTAAGAAACACAATCATAAAATTCAAGTGATGTTATTTTGTTAAAATAGTCTATAACCAGGGGACATGCTCTGATGCTAAATAATGTGGAAAGTTAAAATATAAAAAAGCTTTTTTGTAACAATGACCCAAATTGATATTTTATTTTTCTTGCATTTGCAACCCCCAATTAACAAAAGGCTCAGGGAATAGCGGTGGAGTAATAATGTTGCCAGCTTAGGACTTCTGGTTACGACAGCAGTGAGGAATCTTCTTAAATCCATAAATTGCTGAATCCATGAGGAGAACTAAGAGTGATCAAAGAGCTGTGATACCTAACCTGTACCTAGTTCAAATGGTCATGAAAAATACACTTCAGCAGAGGCATAATGGGGCAGTGGAGATGCAGGAGGGCACTGGTGACTTCTGACAGCTAATGCCACTGCCATGGGGATGCAACTGCAGCGGCGACTGGTAGGAGGAAAGAGGGGGGGGGGCACATACCTGCCCTGAGATTGACCTCCAACTCGGCACTGCTCAGGGCAGGACAGTTTTTTATGGGGCTTTTGGCCTGCTCCTGGCCCTCCCGCAAATTGTTCCCCCCTGGACTCAGGAAGAGGCACCAGTCACCCCTGGCAGCAGCTGTTATTTCCTCCTCCCCACCCCCAAGTCAGTACCTGCAGCTGCTGCCCCAATTGCCCTACTCTTGTTATGCTACTGTATTTCAGACAAAAGCAGAATACTGTAATGATAGAAACCTGTGCGAAGAACGATGTACACAAAGTCTAATGTTCATGCTCCATGCATACATGTACATGCAAATCCAGATAGGTGCACATACTGGAGTTCTCTTGCACTCCCTGCTGGTATTTGTAAACAGGCATGCACAATTTTGGAAGTTTGTGAATGGAGAGGAAATAATAGCAGTTGGCTTTTCGATTTTGTGGATACAGGCATAACAAGATCTGATGGCTAGAAGTTGAACTTAGTCTAAGTCAACCTTGAAATTAGATACAATAGCTTAGTGGCCCTAGTTTCAAATGGAATGGGAGAGGGGTAAACTTAACACTGCTAGGAGTGCTCCACACAAAATTTTATGTTTCTACAGTATATATTTTAATCCAGCTTCTAGCAAAATTCTCCAGATTATATGTAGAACAGGTCAGACCACACAATTGTCATGGTCCCTTGTGGCCTTAGAGCCAATGAATGAATAAATGACTCTGAAATCCATTTGAGATAAACTGGTGCCACATCTGTGTGCAGACAAACCTTCAAAAATTGTAAAGGGGCTTTTGAGTGATTCAGTTCTTGGGTTGGAGGAGAGGCTGGACTCTTCTGATGTGTTTTTTAGTCAGCTGCTCTAAAAGAGGCTCTAGAAATCCTAAGCAGCTCTTGGATTATGTCTAGTGTAGTATGAAGGGTTGCTGCTTGAAGCATGACCTGTATTTCACTACAGTGTCATTAGTAGCTCCTCAGTCCACTGATGATCCAAGGACTGCCGTTAGATTTTTAAAAAATATAAAACACTGAAAACATTCATTAAAGAAGAATTAAACTATTTTAAGGGGTAGTAATAGCCGTTTCAGCCACAGCATTACTGACAGTTCATATTGAGGCAGTTAACTACAGTGATCCCAAAGTCCTTTGAGTCACTGCTTCCCAAGACAAAGTCTCCCATCCTTTAAGTGCAGTTTCCATTTTTTGTTCCCAGATATGTTACTGTATCTTGCATTTATAATATTAAAATACATTCTGTTGAATTGTGACCACCTAATGAGGTGATTCAGTCCATTCTCTAAATTCTAGCTTCCTCTTTATTTATTACTCCACTAATCTTTGTGTCATCTGCAAATCTTACTAGCAAAAACTTGATACTGTCATCTAAATGGTAGATAAAAAGAAGGTTCACTCCCAAGAGGAGTCTGGTAGAAATGTCCCTGCTCATTGATGTCAGTGAGCCAGTTTTATTCTATCTAATGGGAACCCTGTTCATTCTGTATAGCAGAAGTTGTTTTGGTTTGGTTTGGGGTTTTTTTGGGGGGGTGGGGTGGGGAGGAGAGTTTGTTTGTTTTTAAATCAAGATGTACTACAAAGTTTAAATACCTGACATAAATATAATATACTATAAAGAAGTGTAAATGCCCGTGTGGACTGGACTCACTTTGTGGTTTCTATCTGTTTAAGGTTGGTTATATCAGTTTAACTAGCACTAGTTAATTTACCAATGCAAGACGGACCAGTAAGCCAGATTTAAATTAATATGAATGTCTGTAGACAGCTTTGACCAGTTTAAATAGACTACCGTAAAGTCACACCCTCAGTAATACCATGCTACATTGTGTATAGAATAGACCTGCACATAGCTACTGTCTTCCTTATATGCTGCTTCGGTGGAAATGCAATAGTGATCAAATTTATAGAAGACACTAATAATACAGAAGTCCTGTCTTAGGGAGAGAAACTTTCAGCTAAGAGAAGCGGAGCTCAGTTCTTCTTGGCTCCACTAGGAGGATGCTCCTTTTCAACTTGTTTGGTAGAACTATTGCTTGTGCACAGTTATGGAATTACTAAATGTTTCAACTGCAGATGCACACATACATTCAGCCACACATTGCCACAGATGTGCCCATGGATGCCCCTTTATTGGGTAGTCATTGAAGTCCACTTTGGTGTCTAGCCACACATTGCCACAGATGTGTCCAAATGACTCATCCCTGAAATCTCATTCAGGGCTCAGATTAATGGGGAATAAAATTGCAGTATAACTTTTCGGGTTATGTAGAAGGCAGGGTAGCATTGTACCTTTTCAGGTGCACAAGCTCTTATAGCAGCAGTTCACATCCTTCTTCACTTAACCTAGAGGTACAACACCACCTGCCTTCTCTGACTTCTGTGACTAACTACCTCTCTCTTTTGAAGTTGTCTAACCCAACATCTCTCAACCCATGGTTTGTGACCCAAAAGTGCGTAGCAAGAATACATGAAAGGGTGGCAAACAAACTTTAAAATGGATTCCCCTTGAAAGAAGAAAAGCGTGAGAAAAGGTGGCTTTTCCCTTGCATGCTGGCAGAGTTCCAGCTTGCGAGAGGCTGCTTGGGGCCCCCCATGCCCCCCCCCACCCCTCATACCCAGCTCCTGCCCCACACATTGGGGTCTGGGGGGGCAGTGGGTCAGGAGTGAGGGGCACTGGGTTGGGACTGCCATTGATGTTTACAAATGGGTTCTGGTACAAAAAAGGTTGAGAACTGGTCTTACATCACCCAAATCTTAGAAAAGAGGAAACAGCTACCCAGCCCGAGAAACTTGAGACTATTGCTCTTTGTTCTGTTATCTAAGTGGTGGCAGATGACAGAATGAGGAGCAATGGTCTCAAGTTGCAGCAAGGCAAGTTTAGGAAAAACTTTGTCACTAGGAAGGTAGTAAAGAACTGGAACAGGTTACCCAGAGTAGTTGTGGACTCTCCATTCTTGGAGGTTTTTAAGACCTGGGTAGACAAAGCCTTGGCTGGGATGAGATCATTGGGGCTGGTCCTGTTTTGAGCACAGAGTTGAACTAGATGATTTCCTGAGGTCCCTTTCAACCCCAATTTTCTATGATTCAGTGTGGCTGCTGCATCCTGCTCCCTGGCTGCTGGTTAAGGGAAAGGAATTCAGTCCTTCTGTCACTGAAGTAACATGTCCAGGCTGCTGCAGCATTGGTCTTCTTTTATTAAACAGAATTTAGCAAGCCACCAGTGATGATAAATTTCCTCACTGCAACAGATTATTTAATTGCCAGTAAGACCTTTTTTCCCCCTCTGCTTGACAAAAGTCATTAAAAAAAATGAGCTCAGCTTTAATTGCAGCCCACCCTGTTCCCCCTCTGCAAAACACAGACTGGTTCTTTCTAGGGAATTTCAAAGAACCATGCGGGAAGTTTGCGTTCAGCATTCCCTTCTTTTATTTTAAGACATATTTGACAGGTCACTCGCCTCCCCCCTCCCGGAGGAGGCATAAATGTGCTGGGGGCTGGATCGTAGAGAGGTTTTTTGTACAGAAAGTTCCTCTGGACTAAAAGTTGTGGGAGAAAGGGCCTGGGATGTTCAGCCAGTCCTCTGCAAACAAGACATGTCAGCAGCGCCTGTGCCCAGGGCAGCGCGCTCTCAAACAACAGCATCCCGCCTGCCCCGACTCCCGCAATCACCCCCTCTCGCTCAGGGGACGGATCCCACTGCTGCGCCTACTGCAACCCAGCACTGCAGGGGCTTGCGCTCGCCCAGCCTTTTCGCTCCTCTCTCGAAAAACCAGCCGAGGCTTTACGAGTCCGCGCACTGAAGCCCTGCTGGCGCGTGCGGCAGACCGGACCTGCGGTTGCCGCGGCGCTCAGATGCAGCCCGCGCTGCGCAGCCCGGCCGAGCGGGAGGGAGCTGCCCTCGCAGTGCGCGCCCCGCCGCTGGCGTACACCCCGCATGCATCCGCGGAGCCCGCGCCGGCCCCTGTCCCGGGGATCTCACGCTACCGCAGCCGCGCTTTATGTCCCATTGCCCGCGCACTGCGTTCCACTGCGCGTGCCCCGCGTTCCACTGCCCGCGTTCTGCGTTCCACTGCCCGCGCTCCGCGTTCTATGTTCTACTGCCCGCGTTCTGCGTTCCACTGTCCGCGCTCCGCGTTCTATGTTCTACTGCCCGCGTTCTACGTTCCACTGCCCGCGCACTGCCCCCCGGTCCGCACTGCCTCGCTCGCTCTCCGCCCCGCCGCCCGCGCCCCGCGTTGCCGGGCAGGCTCCCCCGCCCCACGAGGACGGGCCACTGGAGCCCCCCGCGCCCCTCGCCACCTGCGCGCCCACGCCACCCGCCTCTCCAGGCACTTCCCAGCCCTCGGGCATCCCCTCGCCCCACGCACCAGCCTGGCCAGGATCCGCCGGCTCCGCTCGTCCGTGCAGCGCTCGGAGAAGACGCTGGGGTGGCCGAGGAAGAGCAGCGTGGCGAGCAG